AAAATCGTGGGGGGGGGCGGTTTAGAGGGGGGCGGGAGGGAAGGGTGGGGAAAGGGAAACAAGGTCTTCATTTTATGATTTTTTTAAATTCCGCACTTTCACAGTGGTAGCGAAATAAACTAATCCTAAAGTTATTTTTCTATTCAGAAGAGAGAAAAGGTGGATTTTTTTTCCTTTTGATTCCAACCTTTTCTCCAAGTGACAGCATAAATCATGGACACTAGAGAATAAGGTGTACCTCAGGAATCCTGAAAAGACTGAGGAGCTTACATTCTTCCTCAGGAGGGAGGAGTTGGGTATTTTTGCCCTCTCTGGAACGTAAAACGAAAAACATGAGTTGCGTGCCATGGAAAGGAGACAAGACCAAATCTGAATCATTGGAGCTGCCCCAGACAGCACCCCCACAAATCTACCATGAGAAACAGCGCAGAGAGCTTTGTGCTCTTCATGCCCTCAATAACGTCTTCCAGGACAGCAATGCCTTCACCCGGGAAACGCTGCAAGAGATTTTCCAAAGGTAAGGGACCCCTTCTCCTTGGCATTTTGATACTTCTTGGTATTTCTGAATTTCTGTGGGTGGGGCAATGTCTCACCTCCATAAACCTTCAAACCTACAGGTATTAACTAGATGCTGTTAGCAGGTATAAGGACACAGGAACAGGAAAGATGGTAATCACTGTCTGTTGAGCACTTACTCTGGGATAGGCACAGTGCTTAAATAGCCTCAGTGTGTCATCTCAAGTGATCTCCCCACGCATCCCATGGAGTACATGTTGTGAGTGTTGTTATTTCCATTTAATGGATAAAGTCGGCACTCAGAAGTTCAGTAATTTGTCCAAGGTAACATAACAAGAGATGAATCATGCCAGAGTTAAATTCAGGTTTGTATCTCTGTTGACCACCATGCCCTAATGTCTCTCAAGTCCTGCCTCTAAGGAGTTTATAATGTAGAAGGGTGGCAAGATACATGTACACATTCAATCACCTGCCATCAAAGGTGGAATGTAGTGGGTGTGTAAACCGTGCTCAGCTTTTCTGTGAGGCTATGTGCTGGCCTTGGTGCTTTTCATACGTTTTGTATAGCTCTCCCAGCAGTTGTTTACTGTCTCTGTTTTACTGATGGAGAAACAGGCAGAAAGGTCAGGTAATTTGCCCAAATAGCTTCTAAATAGCAAAGTTATAATTGGGAGCAGACTTCAGGTTCCCTCCCCTTTCTACTTTCTTCTAGATGGCCTTTCTTATCCACTTAATACAAATGCCACCGCACAGGTTGATAGAAGTTCAGCTTTCTTCTCTTTGTATGATTTTCGAAAAGGTTTTGAGGATTAGTTTTGCAGTGTCTTGATGGCCACAGAAGCATGTCTGCAGTCCATAGCATCTTTGGCAATGAGCCTATCTGATCACTCCAACTAGAAGGGATTACACCTACTTGGGTCTTCAGTGCAGAGAAAGCTCAAGAATTCTTCAGGCAGTGCATGTTGGTAGTTGCAGAAGATCCTTTTCTGATACCCTCCACTTGGGAATGAAATTATTGCCACACAGGGACCTGAATTACAGCTGGAAGCAACCTATTTGGGGTGATTTGTGAAGCAAAGGTGAGGACCATTTACCCTGAAAGAACGATAGGCCTTCTCTTAGTAGAATGTTAATCCCAGTATGCTGTCAAAACTATAATGGGAGTAATTATTTTTGAGTGCCAATAATAACCAGAGTAATGCTGTAGCAGGGCAAATGTGTCATTTGCATCATGGCCATTATCTGACACCAGGTGAAGTTAACTCTTCAGGAAATGGGGCAGTGGGAGGTAAGATCATTTGTCTCAGATCACCAAGTCATGTTACTGTGAAAGGAGGACCCAGTCCAGTCCATTACACTGCTTTCTTTTGGCCAGCCATTAATATTTCTTATATTCCTGATTGGATATTTGCAAATTATTTCCTAATCTAAAAGTAGGAAAAAGGAAAGGATTCACAGTGAGGACCTGAATGTTCTTGGTACTTTCTAGTATATACCAACAATCTTGCAACAACCTTACTGGTGATGATCCTAGAAAACTAGCATCAGTTTAAGTGATTTGCCCAGTTTCACCCACTAGTAAATAAATGTCAAATACAAGATTCTTTTTTTTTTTTTTTTTTTTTTTTTTTTTTTTTTTTT